TAACTACAAAAGCAAACTTTATTAGATAAAAGTATTTTTTCTTTAATTAGCTAGGCATAAGTAATCAAAATCAGAGGTACAGAACTCAGACTCAAAATTCGTGTTGACCCGTGTAATAAATAATAGCTGCTACATGAGAACAGCATCCCACTGTACGTTCGCCATTGGGGCAATCACAGCAATAACGAAGAATACTATTGTAGTCATTACCTTCGGAAATATAGTGAATGTAAATTCGATAGACTTTTCTATTTATATGTCTTGATTTTACTTCTGCTTTGATGATATTAGGTGCTGATTTCACATATTGTACTGAGAGATTATTTTGATCGTCCATTATTTCGGCCAAGTTAAATGCTGCACATTTAGAAGTAGAAGCTTTTTTGTTAATATATGGGATAAGTCGACACTTCTTACAAAAAATATCATTAACTATTACGATTTTATTCAAACAGTCACTAAACACTTTAGCTTCTTCTTCATTCTTTATAATTTTTTAATAACCAGGAATCTTACACAGGTACTTGTTACAATTTTTACACTTTGTCGACATTATTACTTAATAATGATTTGGTTCGATAGTTAATAATTTCAAAACGCTGATACAAAATACCTATGACAGAATTTGAGTCCCAAACTGCCTTCTTGTGTAATACAAATGACTGCTACTTTAGCTAAACAAACGATGCAGTAAACAGCTCGATTACAAGTTCGAACTTGTTTGTTTATACACTCACACTACAAGGCGCGAATCACATATAATTTTTTTTCGTTGTGTTGCACCAACTTTTTTTTCACGCAATTTTTATGGGTGATAGAGCACACAAAGGAGCATAACATATATTAATTTCGTGATTGTAAGTCACAGAGAACTCAGAAAAATAACATGTTTTTTTTTTTTTTTTTAATGTAATTTTTTATTCTAAAAATTATAAAAAAATATATGTGATATACTCTGTAATGTAACCTAACACCTCGCGTTAGTTTCACTTCTTTATCTTAATTAGCTTCAGAGATATATCACATTCAGTAATAGTCAAGCATACGGATATTTTGCTCTCTATCTCAAGGTCAAAGCGGAAGTCGGTCGCGAAAAGTACATAAATCGTGTTTGAACATCAAGTCGATATTAAAACATAAGTTTCAATATCGATTCCCATTTGGGGGCCGACTCGTCATACGTATCCGGCTAAACCCTTTATTATGCATTTTGTATTTGTATTTCATTTTGAAATATGGCAACACTGTAGCACTCAACCCTCACAGGAACGTAAACAAGTCTAAACCTGCTCCAGTCGCATACGCGCGTGCTTCTGTTGCGAACATGTTCCTTTGACTTTATGTGCTGTGTTTGTTTCTTTAACACTTTTATAATACGCAGTTATTTGTTTACTAGCTTTCGCCCGCGTAGACCCTGGGGAAATATTTAGTGGGATAAAAATCCTATTATCTAAGTCAGCTAACATCCTATCTGTATACCAAATTTCATCAAAATCCGTTCGGTAGTTTCAGCGTGATTGACCGACAAACATCCAAACAAAGATACTTTCACATTTATAATATTAATTAATAGGATTTCATGTGCAACGTTTAAATCTGTTTGTACTTATTTATCATGGGTAAAAAAGATCTTTTACCACGTATAAAAACTGAAGTTAAGGCGCTCGTGAATGCGAAAATATTTTCTAACCGTGAAATATCACGAAGATTGAAAGTTTCTGAAGCTAGTGTCCGTCGCATAAAGAAGAAAATCTTCTTCCATCTTTTAAATCTTCCATCATTCATGTTAAAGAGAGACAGAAAGCCCAGCAATTTTTATTTTTTACGGGTCTGCTTCAGTGATGAAAACATATTTGAAATTTTACAGAACAAAGCTCAGTCTGTGCGTCGCGGTCGTGATGAAAAGTTTCATCCTGACTGTGTGGTTCAGACTGTGAAGCGTCCCACAAAAATAATGATTTGGTCAGTCATCAGCGGCAAGGGTACTGGACGTCTGTACGTGGTAAAAGGTATGTTGAGGCAAGACCAATACAAAGAGGTCTTGGAAAAACGGTTGATCCCGCAGCTACAAGAATCCCACTGTTGGATTGGCCGGGTAATAACCCGGATATGAACCCCATTGAGAACGTTTGGGAATCAATGAAGAGAGAAGTGGCTAAAGATGTGATCACAAATAAAACTTAGCTTTTAGAAAGAATAATCCACGTATGCAATAATCATCCTAAAATGCAAGAGACAGTACAATCTTGCATAGATAGCATGCCACGACGAATTGAGGCTCTCATAGCAACCATAGGTGGCTCAACAAAATATTAACATTTAATTATAATTATTTCTGTTTCTTTTCAAGAGTTTTATTTGTATTAAAAAGTAGATAATTAAATGGACAACAAAAAAATATACCTCGTATCAAGTAAATACAGGGTGGCCCAAAAGTCCTTTGAAAAGTAAAACTTGAATAATAAAAAAACGACGCGCGTGAGCGGTACAGGGGAAGCGGGGGCAGAAACGTCGGTTCCTGGAAATTCAGTCGCGATGGAGCGCTTTACTGGAGCGGACCGTGCGTTTTGTGTGCGCGAGTTTTACCAGAACAATAATTCGGCAACCGTTGCGCGGCGTAAATTTCGAAAACACAAAGGATTACACCACTTTGACGACACTCCAACTACTCAAACCATTAAGAACTGGGTTACTAAGTTCGAGAAGAGTGGTTCGACGCTAGATCAACCGCGGTCCGGTCGCTCAAGGACATCACGTACGGAAGAGAATATTGACAAAGTGGCACAGTCGATTCGTGAAAATCCTACGCAGTCAACGCGCAAGCGATCCAGTGCATTAAATGTACCCAGAACATCGTTACAACGGATTTTGAAGAAAGATTTACTCATGACTGAAAAGATACTGACGCTATTCAGAGAGAAAATTATGCAAAAGAAATGTTAAATCGGTTTACTTCCTTCAACAACATAATGTTCTCGGATGAGGCTCACTTCCATATTAACGGGCATGTTAGTAAACAAAACTGCCGCTATTGGAACACTGTGAAGCAGCGGGCGCGCAGTTACTGTTAATTCGGAGCGATATGTGGCTATGATTGAGGAGATTTTCACACCACAACTACCGAATTTTTCATGCTTTAACACCCAGACATGGTTTCAACAGGATGGAGCCACTTCCCACACTTCTAACACAGCTATGCCTGTAATCCGTCAAATTTTCCCTGGAAAAGTGATCTCTAAGAGAGGAGATATCTGCTGGCCACCACGAAGTCCGGATCTCACACCGATGGATTTTTTCTTGTGGGGCTACCTTAAGTCTAAGGTATACGACACGAACCCGCGGTCAATTGATGCTCTAAAAGAAAATATCCGCAGAGAAATGGCAAGCATGTCTGTAGCGACGTGCCACGCAGTCATCAACAATTTTAGACGTCGTTTACAAGAGTGCCGTGACCGTAACGGTTTACATTTAGATGACGTAATTTTCAAGAAATAATTCCCATTTATTAAGCTTAATTTGGAAATAAAAATATTACTTGTAATGTAAGTAGTTTTTTTTAAATTAATTTTTTTCATGTCAAAGGAATTACGGGCCACCCTGTACAAAAGACTTCTATAGGTATCACCTGACAGTAAACTTTTTTCATAAAATCTTTGAGTGCGTCTAATAATTTGGCCAGTGACTGTAGGTTGTCCCCAGCTAGATAACAACAACTAAGAGGCAAATTAGATGATATGATCAGTAACAATATTATTGAGGAATGTGACTCGCCTTGGTCTGCACCTGTAGTTCTAGTACCTAAAAGTGACAATGACATAAGAGTCTGTATATATTATCGACGCCTAAACGAAATAACCAAACCAGATCATTATCCTTTACCACTAATAGATGATTTATTACATCAGGCAAAGACAATGCCATTCATGTCAACCATTGATCCAATCAGGCTATTACCAGATTGAAATGCATCCTGCGGATACAGACAAAACGCTTTTATAACACTATTCGGAATGTATAGATTTAATCGTATGCCTTTTGGTTTACGTAACGCACCCGCCATATTTCAAAGATTAATGGACAAATTTGTCTACAGGCTGCGTGCACAGTGTGTTCTTTCTTACCTAGATGATTTCATAATACGGTCTGGGACTTTCACTCAGACTTCAGAGAAATTTTTAATTGCGAGCCAACAGAAAGAAATGCAAATTTGGCTGCCCAAAAATTTTATAGTTAGGACACATTATAGTTTCTGAAAGAATAAAAGCTGATCCAGATAAGATATCTGTAATGCTACACAGACCTGAACCTAAAAATATAAAACAATTAATATAATTCCTTCAAACGGCATCATGGTACAGAAGATTTATAGAAAACTTTGCTGAAATAGCGAGACCACTGACCAGTTTAACAAAGAAAACAGCAACTTGGGAGTGGAAGCATGAGCAGCTAAAATCATATGAAACCAATAAACCTGTATTAACAAGATCACCAGTATTAAAACAAGCTGATTACGAAGCACAATTTGCAATTAAAACCGATGCAAACAAATATGCAATTCGAGCGGCTTTGGTGCAGGAAGAGAGACTGGACGAACACCTTATTGAATATGCCAATCGACTTCTCACCTCAGCAGAACGTCATTATAGTAGGAGAGCTAGTGAACCCTCCGAGTAACGGAACGCCTGTAAGGCTAGGAATTTTTGTGGTGATGAATAGTAGCATGCTAAGTACAACAACCATCACCTGGCAAGTTTCAGACCTGCACGTCATCAACCCCTATGTTTTTGAAAATGTATATATAATTAGAAAAAAAAATTCTCACTGTAAGCTTCAAATTTTTATATGATTTTCCACATACGTAGCGAAGTTAAAAAAAAATTTGACAGGCGTTTTCTATGAGTACCAGTACCTGACAGGTGAGCTCACAGGTGTATTATACATAAATAAAAATAAACATGTTAGTACATGTTAGTTGAAGCTATTCTAAGTAATTGGGTAGGATGCCAGGCGGTTCTGGCCAGCATAAGTCTATGACAGGCAGCAGTGAAGATGCTATGGGAGTGCGAGTGAGAGGTACTGCATTAACTCAGTGGTGCGAATAAGACAGTTTTTCTAACGGTAAAATCGAAGGGTCGTATACCTTCTTCTGTAGGGGTTTGTCTGTAGGACATTTTAAACGAAAAATAGCGTTAGTTGTAATGACGATTCATCTACGTCATAGATTCTCAACGTGGGCGATAACGCCCCCTTGTGGGCGTTTGAGACTTTCGGGGGGCAGTAGAAGACCCAGAGAAAATTAGGGGGCATTGAGTTGGCGCAGAGGAGGCGTGGGTAGATTATAAATATAGTCTAAAAAGGCAAAAAAATACACGCTAATCACGTACTAAAATAAAATAAAAATGAATATCTTGGTAGTATTATATTTTGGTAGGGCGGGCAATGGATTAAAATCATCATTACTAAAAACTATAAAATAAAAAGTACTACAATCGAGGTTAAAGTACAGAGATTAAGATTATATAAATTTTAATTTCCAAAAGATACTTAATATTTGTTGAAATTATAATAAAATAAACATACACAAAAGATTAATTAATTAATAATTATTAATCGATGTTTTGTGTATGTTTATAATCTAAACTGGCAAGCGAACCGGCTTGGGGCCGCGGTCAACCCCTACCATAAAATTTCAGATTTATTTCACTAAAATGGCTTATTCCGAATGGTTTTTATTATTTCAAGATGAAATAGATTAAATTATATTAATTTTTTGTACGTCAGTGTCTTCGGGGCATTCGGGAGTCAGCAAGTGACGTACATGCGTCGACAGGTCTGAGCCCGCACTCTGCTCCCGCGTCGCCCTTGCCCCCGCGCGGCGTCCGCCCTTACCTTTCGCGCCGAGTGTTATAAACAAGTCACTGCAACGAGTTTATCTTATTCTTGTCGTTACATGTTAAATATCTCCGACCTATGGCAATGATTGTTCATTTTATTTTCATTAGCATTATCGCGCGCAATTGAGAACAGGGTTTTAAAAGTTAATCTTTTACTCACGTATCTGTAAAGTGCAAACCATGTCAGAAGCAAAAAAGAAGAGGTGGCAGTATTGTGCGGATTATATTAAATACGGATTTATCGAAAATCCCACAAATCCATCATCGAAATTGTGCCTTATTTGTAAAAAAAACATTTTCAAATGAAGCGATGAAGCCTTCTAGGCTTCAAGATCATTTTAATAAAATACACCCGGATAAGAAAGACAAAGATGTGACCTATTTTCAAGACATGAAAAAGAAGTACGAAATTCAGCCAACTATATCAAAACTTTTTTCATCAGCTTCTAAGCAAGACGATGGCGGACTTCGAGCTTCGTACAATATCTCATTGTTGATTGCTAAAACAGGGAAACCACACACTATTGGGGAAGATTTAATTTTACCAGCAATCAAAGAAGTAATAACCACTGTACTCCATCAACCAGCTGCAGATATTATCCGAAAAATTCCTTTGAGCAATAGTTCTGTGCAAAGACGAATAGATGAGATGGCTAAAAACATTGAAGAATCAATCTGCAGACTTGTCAATTTTCAATTCAGCTGGATAAGTCCACTTTACCCACCAATGAAGCACTGTTATTGTCATTTGTGAGGTTCATTAAGGATGAGAAAATATGTCAAGAACTATTGTTTGCCACAAATTTGGAAACGGATACAAAAGAAGAAACTAATACTCTTGAAAAGTTTTGTGCCGAAAAGGAAATTCCTTTGATCCGGCTATGACAGGGCGTCACAAAGGCTTAATAGCGTGCTTAAAAAATAAAGTTCCTGACGTGCTTGCTGTGCATTGCGTAATTCATCGCCAGCATTTGGTTGCGAAAAATCTGAATGAACGCCTCCATATATCACAGCAATATTTCATCAGATCAGTCAATAAAATCAGAAGTAACTCGTTGAATGACAGATTTATTTAGTCAGCTTTGCATTGCCAATGATGAAGATTTAAACCAACTGCTGCTTCACACAGAGGTGCGCTGGCTGTCAAAAGGTACTTGCTTGACTCGATTTTACAATCTGTTTGGATCTGTGATAGAGTTCCTAGAAAACAAAGACCCACAATTGCGCGACAACCTCATCTCATCAAAGAAAGATGTTGCGTACTTAACAGACCTGTATAAATTGTTTAGTGATGTCAACCTCCAACTTCAAGGTGATGACTTAAACTTGATTAAGACAAAAAATAGAATTGCTGCTTTCGTATCCAAACTACTATTATACAAAAGAAATATCGGCAGACATGAATTCAACAACTTCCCAAATTTATCACGAGTATTATTCAATAACGACGACTTGCTTGTTTACTGTCAACACTTGGAAAACCTCCACAGAGATTTCAAGGAACGATTCCAAGACGTTTTAAACATGGTCATACCAGACTGGGTTTTGGATCCTTTTTCAAATGTTAACACAGCAGGGTCATCCCACTTAGAAGAACTAATAGAACTGACGACAATTGAGGAATCAAAAATTAAATTCAAGAATGGCTACCAAGAATTTTGGCTGCAGTGTAGAAAAAATACACCTCAATATAACTAAGCATACGTTTTGATTGCTCCCATTGAAACATTCTTCTTTCATTTTTCATTTTAAACACAGAAATAGGATAGGGGTCATATTCCTATCTTACGACTATAATATAATATCTTACGTTTAAATATAATCGTGGCAATAGCTGTTTTTAATTAGCGACAGACGGTAAGTAAAATTAGTGTGGAAAACAATATATTCTCAAAGTGGGCGGTAAGCAAAATAAGGTTGAGAAACTATGCTTTATATTCATCACGAACGGAAAGTTTGATTCAAAGCTTAAGAGAATTTGGCGAAGATAATGAATATTATCAAAAAGTAAGCAGTATTTTAAGCCCTATTATTTATTATCATAATAGTTGCCGGACTATTGCATTATACACGATACAAGAACAAAATAAAGTGAGATCACAAAGGAAAATTTGGAAAAGTTATCATCAACAAGCCTTTGATGAAATGAAATTATTTATCACTGAAGAAGTGATAAAGAAAAAGAGATGTTTTTCATTTGCATACTTATGCAAATATTATTCAGAATTATTAAAAACAATGCTTAGAGAAGACGGCGAAAGTACGGATTATAATTTTAGTACTCAACATTTTGAAGAAAAATTGTTAAAGTCGACCGAAAAAATTTTATATAACGTTGAAAAATAATGATAATGATATCGATTTAAAAATGTGCCAGTTATTAGAAGAAGAGGAAATATTGCAAAGAGCTGCATCAATTTTGAGGCAATCTGTTTTCAGTATAAAAAGGAACAATCTACCTGAAGACATAATAACAACTACTCATTTAATAAATGGTGAGTGTGAAATACCGAAGCATGTCTCTAATTTTTATAGTTTTCTTTTGGGCGATTATAAACGTCGTCGTAGAACAAGTACAAATTGCCAAAGAAAAGTAAAATCATTAGCATGTGATTTAATTTATAATGTCAGTAATGGACTTATTAAGACGAAAAAACATATCACTTTGGGTATGACATTAACCCGCAAGCACTCGCGCTATGAGCATTTTGCTCACAGTAAATTTGAAACACGCGCCATTTTGTCAAAATTATGCGTACGGGCATCGTTCTTCCGGTAGCTGAGTTTTAACCCCTCCCCCACCCCTGGATACGGTTCACATTCCGCCAGTGTGCGCTAGAAGCTCGGACAAGGAGTTTTGTTGCGCCGTGTACCATCAAGCGGCGACGTGTTGCTCATCGCGCGGGTGTCGACGTAAGTACTTTTCACTTCATGACTTTTTTGTTTTCACACACAGTCACAGAAGTAGAAGGTGAGGTTTCTTCAATTTCATTGGGGAATCAGCTGTGTTACATAGCCAAAAATGGAAGTACAAAGTGGAACTATCATCCGATTCGTTTTAATGTAAGGACAAAAGCTCACAATATTGTTGAAAAACAACCTGGGGTAAAACCAGTGGCTAAAAATATTAATACTATAATGGAATGTTTTAACCTTTTTGTGTGTGAAGAAATGCTGAATGATATAGTTAGATTTACAAATACCCACATCAGAAAAATTAAGGATCAATTTTCAAGGGAGAGATTTTGCAAAGAAATGATATTGTAGAACTTAAAGCATTTATTGGTATTTTATACATGGCTGGTATAAAAAAAAATGAATCACTTAAATTTGAAAGAGATGTGGGACAAAGATGGATCCAAATCAGGAGCCGTGCCTCCTGATTTTTTTAGAGCTGCAATGAGCCGCAATAATTTCCTTTTTAGATGAGAGCTATAAGGTTTGATGATATATACTCTCGCTCGGAAAAGGCAAAGTATGATAATATTGCTCCAATTCGTGAATTATTCGAAGCCATGTGTCGAGCCCATTACCAGGTTGGAAAAAACGTCACTATAGACGAAATGCTGGAATCGTTCCGAGGACGATGCAAATTCCGTATGTATATAGCAAACAAACACATGGTATAAAAGTATTTGCTTTATGTGATTCAAAGAATTTTTATTCAAGTAACTTAGAAATTTACTCGGGGAAGCAACCAAACGGTCCATACAAATATGATAATACTGCATCTGCAGTTGTAAAACGTTTATCACAAGATATTCTGAAAACAGGCAGAAATATTACGGCTGACAATTATTTTACATCGATACCACTGGCTAATGAATTACTAGCTGCACGGACTACTATCGTAGGTACTCTCAGAAAGAATAAGAGAGAAATTCCACCATTTTTTCTTGACATCAAACAAAGACCAAAACCTAGTTGCATCAAGGTTTTGGTGTCAAAGGCAAGATTTTGGTGTCTTACGTACCAAACAAAAAGAACAAGAAAAATGTTCTTATGATAAGTACACTTCATATCGATGACCGAATCGATTCAACTACCGGCGTTAACGCAAAACCCGAAATTATCATTTACTATAACCAAACAAAAGGAGGCGTTGATGTTGTGGATCGACTAAAAGAAGAATATTCTGTTGCAAGGGTACCATGTAGATGGTTGAGATTATTTTTCACGATCCTAAATATAGCTGGAATCAACAGTCAAATCACGAATACAGTCATAACGCGCAGAGATTACTTGAAACGACTAGCTCTTCAACTAATACAGCCGCATATCCAAAGAAGAAGCACCTTGAAAAACATTGCATATCCTCTACAGCAAGTGATAAAACGTTTTGTACCAGATTCTGAGATATCAGGACAAGAAAAACCAAATGGGGTCTGCGCGGTTTGTCCAATGCGCAAAAACCGCAAACCAAAAACCAAAAAGAAATTTATGTAACGAGCATAGTCATACATTATGTGATATGTGTAAAGCTCGTATATATGATGAGGATTAATTATTCCTACACATTTAAGTTTTTGTTTGAGAACATTTTAATTTGTTTATTTTTTTCCGCAAGACTGCCTTAGAAGACTGGTAAATTAGTTAGTATGATTGTTAATTAAAATAAAAAATATTACTGTTGAAAAGGTTTGAAGTACATATATGTTTTCTACATTAAATAAAGTGTATTTTATTTAATTAAATAAAAACATAAAAATATTACCTGGTAAAACCTGCATTTAATAACATTTATAAACGTGAGCAAAATGCTCTACGCGCGAGAGCTCGTGTAATTTCTAAAGGCGCGGGTGCTGGCGGGTTAAAAAGCCTCACGAGCAGCAGAAAGATAATCGATATCATCAACAAATATGGTCATTGTTGCAGTTATCACATCGTGGAAGAACTAGAAATGGCAGCCACTACTGCTTTGTAAAAGAAATAATATACATACTGGAGTAGCGTTCGATAACTTCAATAGATATGTTGATACGGCAACTGGTAAAGACACATTACATGATACAATGGGTATCATATATCAAACAATACTTGAGAATGATGAAAGTGTAGAAGGAACTTCCCAACAAATCTTCCTGAAAATAATCAAACCTCTAAATAGCCATCTGGTCAAATAAGAACCCTCCAATCAAGAAAGAGAAAGCGAGCGTTTGATGTCATCGTCTCAGAAATAGTACCATATTTGAAGAAACCTAAACTGATTGATCAATTATTGCCACTATCGGATGATTTAAGGAAAGAGACGGTACCACCTTCCATACATCAAATTTATAAACAAAATTTTGTAATGATGCTTTGTCATAGTTTAAAAAATTCAAAAGACACCAATGTCGGTTTTCATCACAATTTAAATAAAGATTTAAATAACAACATCGAGAAAATATGTTATTTAACACCAATTAACGAATCACCGACAAATGCATCCGTCGTAATAGAAACTCGAACAACCCTGTATCAATGTGACGTATGACTTGGCTATTGCAAAAATTGCCATGCAAATACAATGTACAGAAAAACCAGCTTACGATAATTTATTTATTCATTTAGGACCGTTCCACATAATGTTAGCATTGTTTAGGGCCATTGGAAAATACATTGATGACTGCGGAATAATGAACATTGCCATTGAAAGTGAAATAATTGCTAATGGTTGAGCAGATGGATTTTTAACTGGCATTGGGATTAGATATTTTATGTTTTCAATCTTTTGTAGAAAAAAAGAATATAATCATAGATGAAGATGTTAGCAACGATCTTACTGCTTTTATCGACAATAATGAATTATTCGGAAGTATGTATACTAGAAGACGACAAAATATTAACATTGATCAACCGGTATCAACTGTACAAGGAAGAATGCAGAGCTGGAAAATTTGGAAAGCACCGCAATTTTACTTTAACTGCAACTGCAAACCTGTACAAGTGATACACTAAGTCGTCACTTGGCGTCACCAAGTGTAACCAAATTGATAAATAATGCTCCTATTGCACAACGGTCACCCTCTGTTGTAATAGCTCCAGATTTTTTAAATGCCGATGAATCTACTGCCATTTTTAAATGTGAACTCTGCCGTTCATCCTGGAAATAGTTCTTTGGTGACTGAAAATAGGTTTTTCACTGATGTAGAAAAACTATCGACTTCAAAATATGTACGGCTGGATATAATTAGATCTCGTTCTAAAGCTGGGCCTAGAAAAACTAATAACAAAGGCAGAACCACGGTACCACGAGGATTATTACCGACACGTCAGAAAAGAATGATATAGAACCGGAAGCTCGTAGAAGAGAAGGAAAGAGAAAAATACAGGCAGCTAAATTAATAAAAAGAAACTTTAAAAACACAAAAACAAAACAAAAAGCTTCTTTCAAAAGAAATAAAATAATATCAAGAGCGAAACGACAAAAAAGAAACTCCAGTGATAGTACAAGTACCTACATAATTAGAGGTGAGGTGATATGTAGGTAAACTGTTTGTACAGTCCGCGAGGCGTAAGCTCAGCTTTGAATTTGTGTGAGTTCTTTGCTGGGTTTAAACCGGTTTACTGCTATTTAGCAACCAGCCTGAGGCGCGGGTCGTCCCTCGGGTGACATAATGCCGCCGCGCACCTTCCGCATTTCACCTATTGTACTAGTAGCAGCGTGACGTGTTCAATTCTTAATATTTTATTTTTGTGATCGACTTTTAGTAAAACGGCGGCTAAAACAAGTAATCCAAGAATACGAAACCCTTTAAAAAGCAAAGTCAAAGAAATTTAGCATAATTGAAATAGATATTTTAAAGACGTGAACGATAAAGATATGTCTAGTGTCACTACATCAGCCCAATTGGTAGCAACATCGACGGGAATTTAAAGACAGAAATAAACTATCCAGGTTCAATTTGGTTATTGCGTGAAAAAATCTCTCTTTTAGGTTTTAAATGGAAAAGACAGAAGATAATAGGAAAATTCTTAATTATTGAAAAAACATGTAGCTTCGTATAAATTTTTTGAATAAAATTTCCGAATACCGCACTCAGGGCCGGTTAATCGTTTATACCGACAAAATATATATAGACACGACAAACTTCTTCGAAATTTTATTCAGATGACAGTACTTCTGATTTGAAGAAACCAATTTCTAAAGAGAATCGTTGGATTCCATGGTGGCGGAGAGGATGGTTTCATACCAAATACTGAATGCAGAAAACTACACGAAATGGTTAAAAACGCAATAAGTACCAAACTTAAAGCCCAATAGCGTTGTGGTGGTAGACAATGCATATTACCACAATTCGTTATAAAATACCGGTCCCAACTCAAACAGCCATAAACATTGCATGATTGACTGGCTCAAGTATTGCAATATCGATCGTTCTACATCGATGCTCAATCTACAACTCTATCAATTAATGCTGCAAAACAAACAAAGATTTATCGAATATGAAATTGACACGTTACTTGGATAATATGGTCACAATGTCCTTCGTCTACCTCCTTACCACTCTGATTTCAGCCCAATTTAAAATATATGGGCAATGTTAAATGGATAAGAGGCGGATGAGACGTGTCAATGAATATGGATACAATAATGAGGTTAGCGAAGGAAAAAGTCGACACTATCACTGTACAAGAATGGAAAAATGTATGTTACCACGCAGTAAAAGAAAAAGTTTCATGGTTACGACGCTGTTCTTGATAATATAACGGAACGAGTTATTATTAACACAAACGACACATCAGATGAAATTTAAAATTAAGATAATGAATTGATGAAGATGCGATGTCCGGTGTAGAAGAATTGTTATAATTATTTAAACTTTATCAGACGTTCCGTGTGCAAGCCGAACTTAATGTCTTGCTGCATTCCAGTTGTCATTTTTCTTTAATTTATTTTATTTTAGACTGAATGTAGGTACGAGTATCTACCTAAAACATAATAAAATTATATTTAAAAGTTTTTTGTATTAATGTACTTTTGGTGATTACTCACACAAAGCTGAGTTTACGCCTCGCGCACTGTATTTTTTGCCTCTCAACATGATCGATATCAAGTAAATGCCTTTTTTTATGTCACCCCTCCTTCGCGCTTGATATTTTTTCAAAAAATATCAAAAAATAATAGTCCTCTTTATATTGAGAAACAAGGTTCTTCCAGAATAAAATTCAACAAAAAAAAAACAAAAACAGTATCAAATTGCTGCCACTTGAAGGCAAAGATGGAGGTAATAAGGATAATGAATATAATTTTTAACGCAAACAAATGTTTGTAAACAATGTAGTCGCACTGTCATTGATTATTTGCTGTGGTAGTGGCTTAAAGTGTGTTTATCACCGCAGCTAATAATTATCGACATTAGAAAGACAATCATATACTAAAATGAACAAATGGGTCTCTTGAAGCAAAACAAAAATATTCGAATAGGATTTTCAAGAACACCTAAAGACAAAAGACAAGAAAGTGAACATCAGAATACCATAATACCTTATATTTTCAGCGATCATATTCAAGTACATTATTGCAATGATAAATGGACTTACTATATCAGCGATTACTGTCGAAATTATTTAATCAAAAATGGACTTACTATATTGTAATTATTCAACGATAAATGGACTACTATATCGGAAATATTAAATGATAAATGGACTTACTACGTCGGATTTATTAATCGATAAATGGTCTTACTGTGTCGAAATTATTGAAGGAGACAAGAAAAAGGAAGCCAAAAAAAGCAAACACTTATTTTTAAAATTACAAAGACGATAGATCGAGATAAAGTACCTACAACATTAGATAATTGTAAAAAAAGTTTTAAAACAAGATATGTATAATGAAACCAAATCAGTTTTTATTACGCTACAAAACGCAAATATAAAAATATTTGTGTATGTACGTTTTGTATCGTATTAGTACGTTTAATGTTTTGTTTTAATATTGTAGAATACGTTTTAGATACATCGTACGCGAATGTGCCAATGTGACGTCATTTGACACGAGAACCCCAGACGGCAACAACAGAGATTCATTTAAAATGTACCCGTCTATTTTATATTGCTATAAAATAACACTTATCCTTCTTGACGAAGTATACTTTGATCAATTACTATTTATATATGAATTTGTTATTACATAAATAGGCACTAAAAACATATTTAAACATTAAAATAACACACAATCTTCAAAGACAATTTTACATCGTTTTCAGATCTGCAAAGTAATCTTAGACAATAAAAGGTATAAAGAAAAATAGATTCAGGTCTAGGAAATTGACTGAATAAATAATGTATAAAGTTCACTACATACATATCAGAATTTTCTAAGTTTAAATTCACCACAGTAATTTCCATAAACTACAAAATAATGGGATTTATATATATTATATTATATACATTGTGTACCTCTCATTTAAATGAATTCTAGGTGACAAATCAAGAATTCATGCAACATAATGAAAATATAAACATCTACAATGTAATATAATTAAAAAAATAATTTTGTGTTACGCTATGGAGTATTTAAACCATAACTTATTACTAGAGGTTTTGTTTTGTGAAAGTGCGTGACCACTTTTTCCATTCTCGCATATTGCTATGTGTTTTTAAAAACTTTGGCACTACTATGTTTCCCTATACAATATTGAACGGTAGCATAAATTTTTAACAATCGTCGTTCAACTGCTTTATAATGATCTTCTGTAGCCAACTTCGCTTGTTGAAAGGAAGACAACAACTTAACCGTCTCTGTGAGGCTTCCGCCTGATAACATTTCCAGATGTTGCCAAGTTGATGATGACAACCTAAAACAAATTTTCGTATATATACCAAAAATGAACTTGAATTAAGACATTATTGATGTAGAGAGAGAAACGAGGCAGCTTTTTCTACAACTACTGAGGCTTACATAATCTGCCAAAGTAATCTCTACGTTTATCTCTAGTTTAGCTAATATAATGGTTTTATTTTGTTTTCATCTTTAACAGCGGTCTATGAGGCCGCACGTCCCGTTTCCCATACAATAAATCTCGAAATATATTTTTGTTTTAAGAGTATTTCTCAGCAAAAATGTACATCTACTTGAAAAAATTATGGCACCAACGAGAAAATTATTTCACTCGATAGCAGTTCGTCATATATTTTCAAAGAATTGAATTTCTATAGATTAAAATATTATTCTTCATGAACAAATATCTATGCTAAATGTTCTATTAATTTTTTTTTTTGTGATATACCAAACTAGGTTTTGTGTTCTCCATATAAAAATTACGATGTCGCAAGTACTTAAAAATATTTTAATTATGTATAAAATTCTCAGAGGTTACGTATTTTTTGTTAAGTTCGAGTTATAACTACTCGAGATTTATTGAATCGTTTGAAATACAATTTAGTTAATTATCTCTACATATAAAAAAATATGTTATTATTCTTTGTCGCAAGGATTTACACTTTAGTTACAAGGAGATCTGTTACGCGACTACCACGAAATTATAACAGTTTTGGAACGCATCTATGTTTGTAACTATTGGCAGCACTGCAGGCCAATTCTGCTAATGTTTACGTAATAATCGCATCTCGATAGAATCTCAACGACTTGCATTTTACCATTGTACTATCTACATAAAGTTCAATGTTATTAGTTCAATGTCTTCCTCACACATCAATTGAGTCAGATATTTAATAATATTGGAGTTCAGCTAGATAGTACAAGGGCAAAATGCGAGTAGTTGACATCCTATTGACACGCTATTATTACGTAAACGTTAGCAGAATTGGCCTACTGATAGTCTGTGATTGGCTGACAGAAAACTGTCATGGCATCGTTAGTTTGAGATTTTTTCGCCACACACGTTTCTCGCGCTCCGTTGGAACAATAGAGTTACACTGGATTACATGCCCATTTCTTCGGTAAGTACAATAATTATGCTAATATTAATTAAAAGAAGTTGTAGATAAAGTAATAAGATTTCATAATTATATTGTTTTCTTGCGATAAAATACGTGTTGACTTCTCCAATACCTTTTCATTTTTTTTCAGTTCCATCGTGTTGGCAATCTGCAAAAGAACGTGGAGTGCTGTCACATATTGGCAAAGGGCCGAGATTAATTATTGTACATGCAGGTGGCCAAGCTGGTTTTGTAGAAGGAGCTCTATTAATTTTTAAATCGAAAAGTAAAACCGGAGATTATCATAATGATATGAATTTTGTAAATTTTAATAAATGGACCAAAGAGAAATTATTGCCAAATTTACCTCCAAGATCTGTAATCGTTATGGATAACGCTGCCTATCACTCAGTGCAGGAAGATAAAAAGCCAACGATGACCAACACAAAGGTTAACATGCAGGCCTGGCTGCAAAGACATAATGTCGAATTTGATAATTCCTTAAGAAAATGTGACCTGCTTAAGCTGATTAAGCAGAATGGTTCTGAAAATGTTTATAAGATTGATGAATTGCTCAAAGCTGCGGGTCACGAAGTATTAAGACTTCCCCCCTACCACCCAGACTTAAATCCTATTGAGTTGGTTTGGGGGGATATCAAAGGTCAACTGGCAAGAAACGAACTGGACAGTAATTTAGATAAAAAGAAGATTGCACTAGAGCAATTATTCAACGAATTTCCAGCAGAAAAATGGGCAGCATGTGACAGTCATGTCCAAAAAATTGAAGATGAGTATTGTAGTCACGATGGACTACTCGATAATGCTATGGACCAAATAATAATCAATTTACAAGATGACTCGGATTCGTCCAACTGGACAGAAGAAGAAACAGAAGATGATTCAAGTGTCATGGACATCAGTGAAGAAGAAAACCTGTAAAATAAATATATACTTAATTCTGATTGATATAAATTCTTATTATAAGTGTAAAATATTGTTTATTTTTTTATTATGTCATCCCGTCCCATCCGTCAACCCGTGAACAAACACCAGAGATTGTTTTTTTTTACCTGATATTGGGAAGGCAATGGAACTAAGCCATACATCCTAATCTACTTACCATCTTACTAATATAAGACTACGCTAATGACTTCGTATTCGTAAAGGGAAGCCGGTGATAATCGAACAACTTGAATTCATATCAAAGAAAAAATATATATTGCATAAATAATATAAATATTAAAATAAATAAATAAATATATTCCAAAATAAGTAAATATGTTTCAAAAACATTTACATTTATTTTATATGTAAGTAAAATTAAATGACAAAGTTTATTATTTATTTTGCATCCGAGTTAGATATCTGGGGATTTATCTCGAAACAAGTCATTACGTGTGTAGCGATACCTGCGCCCACCTACCTCTTACCCCGCAGGCGTCCCGCAAGTTAAATGGTTTGCCTATAGAAGTAATCATCTATCCAGTTGTTGGATCATCTCAAGTCCAAGCGTTTTTATCTCGTTAAACTCGAAAAAGAGTTAAAAAAAAGCATTCAAGAAAAAAAGAGAATGAAACGTCCGAAGAGATCACAAAGCTGAGATTCAACACCAACAGAAAGTGATTTTAGTGTTTGTGATGATTCCGAAGGGCCATTGGACGTCAGTGACAATCTCAGTTATGATCTATAATCTGAAACAGTTCAGATTGTTACAGTAGCAACAGTGTACGAGTTGCCAAAAAGAACAGAAGAGAGAAACAAGCAAAATGATATCCAAAAAGAAGAAAATATAAGAATGAAGAGGAAAGAAAATTTTAACTTCAATTTAACCCTCTGCGACTGATGTAGTAGTCCAGCAGACACCGCGAAATGTAAAATTTGGTTTACAACCGTCAATTTTTAAATTTAAGCGCCGTCGCTCTCAGTACCTTTCCGCAGTGAGCTCGCGCGTCGTTTAGTGTGCGGCGGACGGTTGCAGCGAGAAAGGTGTCCACCAGACTACCACGTCAGCGTTAAGGTTAAGTGTCTATTAGACTACCACCTCATTAAAATTGTAATATTGCCATAATGTCTCCTACACAACCACGTCAATACTTAATGGTTTTAATAAAAGATATCTTTTTTTAGATGGCTAATTCAAGTAATAACGCAAGGCCAGGTACTTCTACACGTAAGAGAACATCGGCGGGAACTTTTGCGAGTAACGAACAACAAATAATAGCGTGGCTGGAACAAGAAAGTGAACATGAGTTTAGCGATATTGATGATAAAGATGAAGATCTAACTTTTGAGCCAGAAACCCAACACGTGGAAAGTGACGTCTTTTCATTTGAAGGGTATCCAGAGCCAAACTCAGAAGCACAACAAGACCTGGCTACAGTGGCCGAACACCAAAGATCTTCAGAGGAGTCACAAGAGCATTACACAGGTAAAAACGGTTTCATTTGGAGTAAGGAAGAGCGCCCTAGGACATCACGCATGCCAGCTCGTAATATAATTAGATTACCAGGTCGTATAACAACAACTAATTTTGAAGGCTACACGGAACTTTGGTCTTAGCTGATTGACCCCACAATGGTAGAATTTCTGGTGCAAATTACTAACCAGAAACTTAGTTACTACCGTACGAAGTTCAAAAATACCGAACTTCACGACACAAACGTAAACGGGATGAAAGCGTTTCTTGGTTTGATGTACTATTCCTCAGTTTTTAAATGTAACGATGAAGATCTCCGCACAATATTTGCTACTGATGGCAGAGGCCGAGAAATATGCCGCTGCGTGATATCCAAATACCGTTTTTCGTGCTTAATCAATTGCCTTAGATTTGATGACTCGACTACTAGAGAAGCACGTCTAAAAGATGATATACTTGCCTCAATATTCGAAATGTTTAATAAGTTCATATCAAACAGTCTCAATATACCCCTGGAGCATATCTTTGCATCGATGAAATGTTACTTCCATTCAGAGGTCGTTGCAAATTCATCATTTATATGCCCCAAAAACCTGCCAAATATGGTATAAAGATATTATTAGTGGATGTTCGTACATTCTATATTTATAATGCTTATATATACCATGGGAAAAATTCCGATGGCAAAGACTTAACTGATCAAGAGGAAAAATGGCAGTACCCACTCAGTCGGTTCTACGACTTGCAAAAGTTGTCGAAAATTCGAATCGAAATATTACCGTCGACAACTGGTTCAGCTCTATACCACTAGTTGAAATATTGCTAAAAAGAGGGCTAACTTACCTCGGCACCCTGAAAAAGAATAAAGCTGAAATACCGCCTTGTTTCTTGCCAAATAAAAATAGACCAGCAGAAAGTTCGATGTATGGTTTCACGAAAGATCTGTCAATGTTATCATGTGCCAAAACCTAATAAAACTGTGTTGTTGATTGTTGTGATTGTTTGAAGCCAATTTGCCTTCAATGTTCCAAGTCTCTGTGATAATTGTCAAACGAAGCTGTGATTTTGACGGAGTCTAATTTTGTATTCAACCAATGAAAGTATCTCATGTTTTCTAGACTGATAAATTTTTCTATGTCATTAATGTTTAAGCACAGATTCGTAGACTGATTTGTGTCAAGTTAATAAATACTGTTTAATTTAAAATATACAAATTGTTTTATTTATTCAAGATTTATTTAGCATTAATAATAGGCTGTTTATGTAATAAGCGTAAATAAAATGGCTGCATAATATATATCTATAAAAATATTTGCTGTTTAAAAGGTGTCTAGTGGACTACCACATCAGTGCAATTGTAAAAATTTACCCACCTCAGTCGCAGAGGGTTAAAGAACATTTTTGACAAAACACATCACACTTATGTCACACAAACGGAGTTAAGAAATACTGAAACTTTAGAGTCAACAATTGAGAATACTGAAAATATCCTAGAGAGTG